AAGCGGCGGCACGGGTCTCTCCACGGTCTCCCCCAGCCGCCCCAGGCCGTGCCCACCCTCTGGGCTCACATTCCACTCGAAACCTGCCACCGCCAGGCCTCCAGCCGCGCCCGAGCCCGCCAGCCCGATGAAGAGGCCAGAGCCTTCACTGCTGGCAAAGAGGGAGGCTCCAATCTGAGGAGAAAGAAGGAGACACGTGAGCCCGGGCCCGGCAACAGCCCCTCAGTCCTCACACACCTGCGCGGGGCCTCACCCTCCCCGGAGGAGCCGGGCTCAGGGCGCAAGGGGATGAGCCTGCAGGAGCTGCACAGCTAAGGCGTACGGCCCAGAGGCACCAACGCGCCCGCCCTTTACTCCCTCAGGGACCTCCTGTCAGCCTCGGGCCTGCCCCACTGAGCGGCCTGGGCACTCAGAGACCATGGACGAGGAAGACGCGCGAGGGGACCTCAGAGATGCGGGTACTAGCGATCTGGAGGTCAGACGCAGCCCCAGAGACAAAAGAGGGGTGTGAGACGTCGGGGTCACTCACCAGCCACCAGGTCATGTCCCGGCCGGCCAGGAAGTAGCCGCTCACTGTGTTCCTGCTGGCCCGACAGGAGGACTGAAAGGGCAGAGGAGAGGAGGAGCCATTGGGACCTTGTGTGTCGCTGCCGAGAATGCAGCAATGGCGCAGCCGCTGCAGAAAGCGGCCTGGCAGCTCCGCACTGCATTACACATAGGAAAACCACACCAGCCATTCGGCTCCTGGGTACATGCCCCAAAGACCTGAACGCAGAAGTGCACACAAAAACCGAAACGGGGCTGTGGACAGCAGCATTACGCATAATAGACACACGTGGAAACAACCTCGCTTCCCATCACCTGCCCATCCACTACTGATGAATGAACGACATGCACATCTGTACCGTGGAATATTACTCAGCCGTCAAAAAGAACGGGGTTCTGACATGTAGCACAACTTGGACAAGCCTGCCCAACACGGTGCTTGGTTAGAGAAGCCAGGCGCAAAGGGCCTGATAGTGCATGACTCCGTTGGTGTGAAGTGTCAGGACAGACACATCCACAGAGACAGAAAATAGGTTCAAGGTTGCCACGGGGCTCCGGAAGCAGGCGGTGGGGACCGGGAACTGGCGCACTGGAGTGATGAGAAGGTTGGGAGCTAGGCAGAGGTGGCGGGTGCATGGCTCCTGGCCCAAGGCAGGAAAGGACAGGGAAATGCAGGGAGCGCTGACCGTGGTCCTGACTGAGCTCGCTCAGCTAATACTTCATCCACGCCGCCCCACCCTCCAAACAGCCCCAGGCCTTACTGCGGGCTCTGAGGTCTAGTCGGGATTCCCACGGGCACCGCGGAGCCGAGACTCCCTCTCTGCCTCTCGATGAGGATGCTGAACAAGGAAGCGGGGAGCCCTTTGGCCGTGACCTTGTGTCTATATTCATACTTCCTTTCTTTTAGCTTTGCTGTAGGGTGTGTGCTTGCCAGAGAGAGACAGAGAGAGCGTGTCTGAGAGAGAGAGGGAGGGCAAGCGAGAAATCACCCCCGGGGGATGGCCGCGCCACACCCCTTCTTCATTTTCCTCTCGGGAATTTGGGCACGCGCACACAGCTGACTTTCAAGGCGCTGGGTCCAGGATTTCTTGTGCGTGGGACCCAGCTACCTTAACCTCCGTGCCACCTGCTGTTTCTATACTTATTTATTTTTTTTTTTTAAGAAATGTACTTATTTATTTCTTCCATGTGAGAGAGAGAGATGCACCCCCCCCATAACCCACCCCAGCCTCGGCCGGGGGGGAAACGGGGGGATCAGGGCATACATGCACACCCTGCGTGCTCAGGGAGGTCCCGTGCACAGCCCCGGCCCCTCCCCACACGGGTCCAGTCGCATTAGCGCTGTGCCCCGCCCGGCCCTGACTGCAGTCCCCACACGGATTACAAACAGTAGGCGCCTGTTTCTGCACACCCTTTGTTTTGGGGAAGCAAAGAATTTGTTCCTCCAGGTGTAAGGAATAACGACTCTGAAATCCGATTTTCTGGAAATAAAACCCCGGTTCTGCTGCCTCCTGGTCCCGTGACCCGGAGCAAGTTTCTTCACAGACGTGGTCATAAATTCTCCCCTCGCCGATTCCTGCCAGGTTTGGTGAGTTTGGCGTAATGCCCTAGAATCGCGCCTGGAGCCTGGTGAGTACTACTAAGAAGGCTCAGTGAGTGGGGCCGGCAGGTGGTGTGGTGGTTGAGCTGCTGGGCTCCCACATGGCCAACAGCAGTTCAAGCCCTGGGTCTGGCAGCTTGCTTTCCGACAGCAGATTTAAAAATAGATCAATTAAATTAAAATTATAAAACAGGAACGAAAGCTCAGTGATATGCTAGCTTTTCAAGCTGAAGGAAAGTGAGATCAAAACCAGGGGGGCGCTTTCTCCATGCCGTCACCAGGCCGGGTCACAGAGCTTCGGTCATTACGCCGGCCTCTCTTCCTGACCGAGTGCCCCACCCTATGTCCGGGATGACCGGCCTCAGCGTCTGGGCTCTCGGAGCTCCCGGGTGGCCCCCGCCTGCTCGCTCCAGCCCCAGCGCCCAGCACTCGGTGTGCTGTGAGCGCAGTGCACTGACTCCGCAGGCCTGACCGGGAAGGCCCAGGAAGGCCCAGCTGTGGAGGCTGCACGTCCAGGGCCGCTCCGCTCACAGCTCGTGCTCTTTAAGACAAGATCTTGGGGAGAAAGGTTCTCTCCTCTCCGTCTGGCGGCAGCCGTCCGGTAAGCCGGATAGGCGTGACCAAGTACATCCAGGAGCTGTGGTGGAAGCAGCAGTCTGCTGAGATGCGCTTTCTCAGGAGGGTCCGCTGGGCAGTACCGCCCGCTCTCGGCACTGCCCTGGGCACCCCGCCCCACCTGGCCGGATAAAGCGTGCAGACTGGGGTACAAGGTCAAGCAAGGTTATGTGATATACAGGATTCGTGTGGGGCGTGGAGGCCGCAAACACCCAGTCCCCAAGGGCCCAACCTGTAGCAAGCCTGTCCGTCATGGTGCTAACCAGCTCCAGTTTGCTCGGAGCCTCCAGCCTGCTGCAGAGGAGCGAGCTGGATGCCCCTGTGGGGTCTTAGAGTCCTGAGTTCTTGCTGGGTGGGCGGAGGTTCCACAGACAAATTCTCTGAGGCTATCCTCATTGATCCATTCCATAAGGCTGTCGGAAGAAACCCTGACGCCCAGTGGATTTCCAGACCAGTCCACAAACCCGGGGAGGTGCGTGGGCGGACATCTGCAGGCTGCAAGAGCCGTGGCCTTGGGAAGGGCCACAAGTTCCACCATCACTGGTGGTTCTCGCCCTGCAGCTTGGAGAAGGCCTAATACTCTCCAGCTCCACCATGACCACTAATCTAAGAAATGTTTGTAAAATTCAAGCACAATACTCCTCAGCACCATTACCACTAACATAAGAAATGTTTGTGGGAGCAGCAGGTGGCTTGGTGGTTAAGACGCTGGACGTTTAGGACAATCAAAAAAAACAAAAAGACTAGATCTTCCTCTGTAGGTCCTCCTGCCTCAGCCTCCTAGCTGGGCCACAGGTGCACACCCCCACACCCAGCCATTTCCGGGTCACTGTGTCACCCAGGCCAGCTGAGAACTCGCCATCCCCCTGCCTCAGCCCTCTGGGTCACTGGGATGGCAGGTGCACGCCACCACTGGCCTCCAGGGTGGACTGGGATGGAACCCGGGCCTCCCACGTGACTCTAGCTGCGGACCTCAGTGTCTCAGCTGCGCACACTTCCCCGGCCGGGCACAGAGGACAAAGTCCCAACTCTGCCCACCTTCCCAGGCTTCCTGGGCACTTCCTGTTACCACCCATGCCCCTCTCCCTTCCTAAAAGGGTCTCATCTTTTCCTCAGTTGGATGACGGCCCGGCCCATCTCTAGGGACCCTGAGGTAGCTGAGCTGGGGACCAGCGTAGCGTGTAAGACAGTGTAGCCAGGGCATAGCTGGGATTGCTCCCGGGCTCCGTGACCTCGGAGGACAGGCTGCACGTACCTAGTTAATACTGAGTGCACGTGTGGCCAGGTGGGCGCCAACTGCCTTACCTGCTCGAGGGTCTGTCCTTCCAACAGCCCCATGAAGCAGATACCACGACCGCCCCATTACCAATGAGGAGAGCAAGGCTCTCAGTGAAAGCACATCTGGCCGGTAAGTGCTGGAGGCAGGATTTGAACATAGGCTCAACCACTAGGCTGGTCATCTCGCCTCAGAACCCCAGGGAAACTGGGCTTAGGACAAAGCCACATGGGCAGAAGCCGAGAGAATGACAGTGAAGTGTAGTCGTAGCTTAGACCACACTGCAGACCCCTGGATCACACCACACCTGAAGCCTTCCCTATGGCTAGGCTGTTCCATATAGACACTGTTACACTCCTTCACTGTTAGAGCTCACGGGAAGTGATTTTCTCCACTCGTTAATAGATTCCTCAATGAGTGCAAGAGGCTTGGCTCAAGGCCCCTCCCGGGCATCTCTGGCCCTCCCAGGCTGGCCCAGCCTACCACTGAAGTGCTCGCAGGGCGACACCTGCCTGGCTGGCACTGTCTGCCTCTGGACTGAGGGCCCCGCTGCTGCCCCCTGTGGGATGAGGCTTTAGCACCTCCCTGGGCCAGCCTGGCCCGTGCACAAAGGACAGGGCAGAACTCCTGGGCCCTGCAGCGGCCCGGCCTGCAAACAGGAAGGCTGGGCTAGCACAGCCGGGACAGGAGCAGGGGCTGACGGCCTGAGTCCGTGGGCGCCAAGCCCTGCCTCAGATGCCAGGCTTTTTCTCAGACGTGCACTTACAACAAAGCACACCTCCACCTCCAGGCCCCGCTGACCGCAGCCTTCCCTTCTCTGGGTCAGCTCACTCCAGGCCCGGCCAGGCCTCGCCTCACCTAGAAAGCCTCCTGTCCGCTCTGCGGGGCAGGCACCCCTCTTCCCGGCCCAGGACTCTCGCAGGGGGAAAGCCGGGGGAGCTGGCAGCAGGTTCTCACCCAGGGCTTCCCCGATGGCCCTCACAGGGTGGCCTCTGAGTCCATATTCAATCAGGAAATGATTGGTTTCAATTCTTTCCTGCCCCCAGGACCACCCCAGGGCCACCTCCATGCCCGCCACCACCACCACCACC